ACTAGTCTGAGATCTGAGTTCACGCAGCAACCATTCTCTTTTTTGCTTACACTGCCTGTTTATTTGAACATGGAGGGAGGGAGGCTGATGAAGATTTGGGGAAGATCAGGGGACCCTCCTTGGCACTGCCTGAAGTTGCAGAACTAGTGGCAAAAGTCTAGATTTTGGAGACAGAATTACCTCTCAGGTGGGAGCCCCAGCCCTGCCCCGTGCCAGCTGTGTCACTGCCTGCACTTCATCAACCTGACCGCACCTGCTGGCGAGGGGAGATGTACTAGGCCGCTGTGTCAACTAACACACGTAGGAACTTGGAGGATGCTAGTCATTACAATGACCCTTATGATGACACTCATTAGATGGAGAAATTTTTTTTAACATCATAAGGTTCATCTTTTTATTCCGCATTATTTTCCAGGCAACCAAATCCTGCGAGGTGCGCTGCGGGCCGCCTTCGCACCCCGGGCACACGCAGCACGGGCCCGCACACGGGCACTCCCGCACGCGCGGGCGCCCGGCTTCCACCCCGCGGTGACTGCGGCCGCGGGAGGGCCGGTCTCCCCCTCGCCTCCGAGGCTGGGGCGGCGCGGTCCGGCCGGCCCGAGACCCCCGCCTTCCCTGGGAAGCACCGAGCCGGGCTCTACTAACCCGGATGACGTAAAGGGGGAGCGCAGGCGGCCGGCGAGGCCGCGCGGGAGGGCCCGCGTCCGCACCGGCCGCCGCGCGGCCGCCGAGCACAGACACAGCGAGGCGGGCGGCGCGGGCCGCGGAGGCGGGGCGGCGGCGCGCTGTTCACGTGGCTCGCGAGCGCGGGCGCGAGATGCAGGGACCGCCCGCGTCTCTGCCGTCTCGGTGAGCGGACCAAGCGAGCCTGGCCGACGAGCGTCGCGGCGGGCAGCCGTGGTGGCGTGGGCGGCCGGGACCGAGGCGCCTGGGCCGAGGCGGGCTTGCCGCGCCCGAGCCCGCCCCGCTGCCGTCAGGGGGCGCTCCCGTGCGTCCGCTCCCCGAGCCGTGCTCCGGGCTGCCGGCGGCGTCCGCAGCCTAGCGCTAGTCGCTAGCCGAGAGTCTGTCTTGGTAGCTCTCTGGGTGTGTTTTCTCGTACCTAGAGGATGCGGCGCGTGGACTGCGACCTCCTTCTCCCGCGGAAGGTTTCCGAGCCTGGGTTGCAGGGCCAGGGTGCACTGTGCACCCGGCGTGCGCTAGGGGAAGGGTGCGTGACGCTGGCCCCGGCCGGCTCTCCGCCTCATTGTGGGCTTGAGGGGCGACACTTTCCGGCGGAAGAGAAATTGAGATTTTTAATCTTAAAATGAATTAGGCTAACCAGTGGTTCTCAACTCTGCACATTAGAATCACGAGGGGGAGAACTTAAAAGTACCAGTTTTCGGGCCCCACCCATGGAGAATTTGAGTCAGTGGGGCTGTCCTGGGGCGTGGACTGGCATTTCTAAACACCCCCCAGGTCATTCTCCTCTGAGACGTCCTCTCCTCCCCGCACTAGAGCCTTATCAGCTCCTAAGGCAGCCCGGGCAGATTCCCATCATCCCGGGGCCCAAGGCAGAACTCCTAGGAGAGGCAGGAGTTGCTGCGCCCTTCTCTTCACCCCACATCTTTTCTGGAAAAAGTTCAGACCCGCTGTAAGGCTCCCTGCTGCAGAGAACGGTGGACACGGGCGCATACTGTGGCAGCCTATTTCTTTGAAAGGGGTGTCCTCTGGCAGTGGCCACTAATTGCTGGATCTTTCCACATTACGCAGAAAGCAGCATGAAGCTTGAGTCAGCTTCTAACCCAGGGGCCCGCCCCAGGGAAAGTAGGCTTATAAAAATCTCTCCTGGGACTCTTTCACCCAGCTTTCCCCACCTTGAGGGAAGGTAGAAGCCAGGCCAAGGGGCTCAGGCCACAGCAAGTTGTGTGGGGAAGGGCAGGAGAAGGGAATTGGCCGGAGAAGGCTGGTTTCCGGGCTGTTGCGGATTGAGTGAATGGGAGGGAAAGACAACAACCCCATTTTGGTTTCAGTGTGAGGGCCCCTAGTTAGCGTTTACAGTGTTTCCCTTGGCACAGCAGAGTTTTTATAAAGCCTCCCTATATTGGGCCCCTCAGCAGCAATATCCAGTCTGATTCCTAAACTTGCCCCGAACCTAACAGTTTTAAACAGACTCTTAAGCCCCTGGCAGGGGTGGACGGGACCTAAGTAAATTCCACATTTGGGTAAGTTGGGGAGGGGGGTCACTAGGCCTCCCAGCTTGCTCCCTGGCAATTCCTAGCATGTGAGGTTTAGGAAACTGCTAAGTACCACGGTCCTCTCAGCTTCAATCCAATCCCCCTGGAGGGCCTGTGAAACGGCACATTGCCAGGCCTGCCCCCAAGTGTCTGATTCTGGGGCAGAAAAGGCATTTCTAACAGGTTTCCAGGTGATGCTGATGCTGCCTGGCTGGGTCAGCCTGGGTGTTGCAGAATGGAAACCCCCCCTTTGCTTTGTCACCTCCTGTCTGGTGACCTTAGACAAGTCATTTATGTCTCTGCATTTGAAAAATAGACTGATGTCAAGAGTTCGTGAAGATAAAATGCTTCCCCCAGAAGGGGCAGGGTGATATGTAAAAGCCAAGTCTTACTATTTATAACAGATCAGGCCAGGGTGGAACATTTGGGTAGAAGGCACAGAGCCAAGGCAGAGGACAGCAGGAGGGCAGGGCGTGTCCTGCAGGCCAGGCTGGCACTGCCCGCTTGGTGGTGCTCCCAGCAGGGAGTCTGAGGAAGAGGTTTAATCCACAGGAGCCGCCCTCAGCAAACATTCACCTCTAATACGGATAAATGTGGTCTGTAGCTGGATGTCACCGAGAAAAGCCTCTCTGCTTCCTGCCGCTGAAGAGGGGAACTTCCCATGACACGTGTTCCGATGGCCTGCCCTTTTCCTGGCTCTGCTGTGGTTTGGGAAGCTCTTGCTAGTTCCCCAGTTCCCCACGGTGCCTTCCCCTGGCGAGGCCCCTAGTCCTGGCTCTTTCTGGGGAACCCCTTTGCCTCTGCCAGAAAAGCCTGTCACTGTGATTCCAAGACTCCCCTGAACTCACAGGGGGAAAGAAAATCTTCTAACTTCCTCTTTGTTTGTAGTTTAAAATGCTCTCCAGCTTTAAGAAACAATGGTGATACAGCACCTCTTGTATTTTCTTGGATAGAGCTGGAACCCATTCTACTAAGTATCTCAACAATGGAAAAACAAGCACCACATGTACTCACCAGCAAATTGGTATTAATGGATCAACACCTAAGTGGACATACAGGAAAAACATTTATTGGGTGTCGGGTGGATGCGAGGGGGGAGGAGGGGATGGGTATATACAAACATAATGAGTGAGATGTGCAACATTTGGAGGATGGTCACACTTGAAGCTCTGACTCGAGGGGGGGGCAAGGGCAATATACATAACCTTAACATTTGTACCCCCATAATATGCTGAAATAAAAAAATTTTAAGGCCGGGCGCTGTGGCTCACGCCTGTAATCCTAGCTCTTGGGAGGCCGAGGCGGGCGGATTGCTCAAGGTCAGGAGTTCAAAACCAGCCTGAGCAAGAGCGAGACCCCGTCTCTACTATAAATAGAAAGAAATCAATTGGCCAACTGATATATATATATAAAATTAGCCGGGCATGGTGGTGCATGCCTGTAGTCCCAGCTACTCGGGAGGCTGAGGCAGGAGGATTGCTTGAGCCCAGGAGTTTGAGGTTGCTGTGAGCTAGGCTGACGCCACGGCACTCACTCTAGCCTGGGCAACAAAGCGAGACTCTGTCTCAAAAAAAAAAAAAAAAAAATTTTAAAAATAAAATGCTCTCAAAGTGCCTACCGATTTGAAAGGTTGGGGGCCAAGTGAGCCCAGTTTTGAACATGAAAGATATTGTTTTTATTAATACTAACAATGGTGGCAACTACTATTTTTGAGCCCCTAATATGTTCCAGGTGCTGTGATAATGCCTTGTACACACCAGCTCATTCAGCTGCCTGAGAGGCAGCTCTTATTATCCCCTGTGAGCAGACAGGAAATAAGAGCTCAGAAAGGTTAAGTTAGCACACAAGAACACACAGCTATTAAGAGGCTGAGCTGACTTAAACCCAGGTTGTTCAAGCCCTTGTTAACTGATATTATTTTTAGTATTAAGTCAACCTTTCGGGAAGGCTTTGGAATAAGAGATCTTGCTTGTCACACTAACTTGGGCCACTCACAGCAGGAGCAGTGGGTAGGGTGTTCTCTGAGCTGCCCTGGATGTTACAGGTGGTGGAAACGGGAACATTCTTCTTCTTCTCTTAAGAACACCTGACTTGACTGAGACAAGAGGGGCTGCCTGCCCTGTGGCAGTGGCTTCCAAACCAAACCCAAGCTCATAAACATCCTTTGGCCTCTTCCCCGAGTGTCCAGGGCGTGTAACGGGCAACTGTGTCATACCAGGATGTGGGACGGGAGAGCAGTGTGGGTGTGAACAGGGTGTCTCCAAGGCAGGGGAGAAATCTCTTGGCGCTGTGAATGAGAGATACAAGCTCTGAGAACCCAGCCTGCCTGAGCGTGGGGACAGTCTGCTCTCTGGGCCACCTCCTGCCAATCCCACCATTCTGCCACCACTGCCCTCAGACAATTCATAGCCAGGAAAGTAGAGATACAAGAGGAAAGTAGAGATACAAGCGGTATCTCAAAAGGAAAGGGAAAGAGAAACAGATAAAGAACTCAGGATTGCTTTTGTCCAGTATGATGTCTTTTGTGGAAATTAGCAAAAGCCCTTCTTCTGCAGTATGCTTTGCTGTCATCTGCCAGAAAATTGTCATAAAGCAGATACAAATCTCCCATCACTGTGATCTGAATGGCACTCCCTAGAGTTGTGCAACACAGTCCTGTAGCCGTGAAGGAGCCCTGGCTTCCTCTGATGGGGTGCAAAGCTGAAATACCTCTACCTTTTTCCTCCTTCGTTCCCTACTTGCAAATCTGCCCCACTTCTCCAATTAGGTAGTGATACCTGTTCTGCGATGCAGTAAGCGTGATGCTAATGTCTCCTAAGCTTCTCCCTCGCCCCCAAATGGGAAAGAACAATCCACCTGTCAAGGGATTTGTGTGTGTGTGTGTGTGTGTGTGTGTGTGTGTGTGTGTGTGCATGCCACTTCCCAGTATCAGAGGCAGTCAGAGAGAGTTTGGATGCCAAAATGTTGGAATCTCCAAATATTTTTAAAAGTTCAGAAGACAATGGTCCAGGAAGTGTAGGCCCTGAGATGGTGTTGTTCTTGAGACCCAGGAGAGAAGCCAGGGGGCGGGGGAGGAGGAAGCTGTGTGATGCATTGCAAGAGGCAGAGGGCAACCCCGGAATTAGGCTTTCTCCCTGTAGGGGCTTGTGTTCCTGGCTCCTTGCAGCTGTCCTTTCCATGGGTCTCCTGTTTCTAGGAGTGGCTGTGAATCGGCATCTAAGGACTTTGTCCCTGATGACGTGGAAGTCCAAGTTCCTAGAATAGTCTTCTTGGTCACTAGAGGGAACAGTGGCATTGGAAAAGCAACTGCCCTTGAAATAGCCAAGTGAGGTGAGCAGCCTGCCAACCCGTATGTCCACGGAGCCCTCTGGCCAGGCTGCAGCTGGTCCACCCTGAGGAGGGCGCCTTGCGTCACCGGCAGGTCAGCAAGTCCTGGACAGCGATCCTGTGGTCATGGGCACGGCTGCCAGCTTTCTGAGCTATGCCTTGAGCTTCCAGCTAGTGGTGGATAGAGCAAGCGACTGGACTGGAGCCCTTCCCTCAGCACTTAATTAACTCACAGCAGAGCGTGGGTCCTGCCCTCTTGTCACAGGGTTTTCTGATTAAGAGTGGGGAGGGGCTCAGGCAAACTCTAGTGATCAGAATCCCCAGGGGAACTTAACGACAAGGAAGAAAAAAACCCTATGGACACCTGATTTCTAGCTCATGTCTTCTAATGAGAATTTCTTGAGGGGGCTGGGGGAGAGCCTAGAGCCCACTGCAGTTGGGACGTGGACTGTGGTTAGGAACCAATGCTCCCAAAACAACTGGAGGGGGGAGTGCACTGATGTAGCTTCCTCCTTGCTGGTGTCCCGAGCCAGGTTACAGCCGCCTCCCGCTGCCCTGCCCTTCCAGGTGCCCCGTAAATCATTCAGTCGGCTGAAGTCTTCCACAGGGCAAACGCCAGAGTGTCCTGCATGACCTCAACTGCCTTGGGTCACCACAGCGCTCTTCAGTGGCTAGAAAAACTTTGCCACATCTCTCTGGAGTCTCTTCTCCAGGAAAAATTGATGTTCTAGCACACGTCGGGGAAATAGGTTGGGGATTTATCACTTTTCAAGATGCTAAAGATGTTTCCTTTATTTTTTTTTCCTCTAAAACCAAGTTAGGCATTTTCCAGGGGAATATTATATCATTTGGAGCTTTATTTAATTATCTGCCAAGTCAGGGAGAGGATTAGCTGCATCTTAGCAACTGGGAGCACTTCGAAGTGGGGAGGATGGCTGTGGGGAGGACGGCGGGGTGGGGGGAGGGCTGGCCCCGAGGTCTGCCGGGAGCCTCCCGTGAAACACCCCATTCAATAAAGAGGCGAGTTTTGGGGAAGAAAGTAGACTCTATAATGATTACTTCTTAACTGCCGCAGCCAAGGCATTCTCCTTTAAATAGACCTTGATTGAAGATGGCACGGCATTTGCTGGAATACTATGAGGGCCATTTATGGATTCAGCATTCAGGGAATATTTATTGAGTCCCTACAACATGCTAGGCCAGTGATTGTCTACTCTGGCTGAGCATTAGATCCCCTGGGGAGCTTGTAAAACAAACCCAGGCCTGGGCCCATCATCTGGAGCGTCAGAGGCTGCCCAGGTAAGTCCAAAGTGCAGCCAGGCACGAGACCTGTGGGTCAGGTACTGTGCTGGATGCTAGGGACGGAGCTGTGACCAAGATCGATATCTCTTATCTTCCGTGTATTCAGACCCTTAACAAAATCAGGACATTATCCCAGATACTCTGTCAATCAGCCCCGATAGGCAAGAGAGAAGGTTCATCTATCACCCTTGCTATTGCCCTGGCTCATCTAACAGTGGGGATCAATCATCTGGGTTGAACAGAATAGTCTCCATCTCAGGTATTCTTTTTGTGAGCCTACATGCCTTAATTTTTAATTTGGAAAAGCTGATTTCTGTAGCCCTAGCTATAACTCACAGATGGTTTCGTTGAATTCCAGCAGGTGGCACAGTTCACCTGGTTTGTCATGATCCAGAGGCAGGTGCCAAAGGTGATATCATCCATGGGGGGGTGGGAAGAACAGTAACCAGGTGAGCTGCTCTTCACCCTCCTGCTGGGGCTTCTTGCCTCCGTGGTCAACTGTGAGCGGGCTGGACTTCTGCCCATGTCCCCTGCTGGCATCGGCAGTGGCCTGTGTTTGTGCTTCTGATTCAGAAACAGACTCAGCCAACAGGGAGCTGGAGCCCTGCTTTTGAATAGCTAGGTTTGATCCGGGGTAAGTGGGGGCCCTGGCTGCCCACAAAGCCAGAGGAGGCCAGCAGGCAGGGGCCCATCCTTGCTGCAGGGACAATACACTGGACAATGGCACTGCTGGGTTGTCCACCCCAGAGGGACCTCACATCAGTGAGATGCATCGAGTGTCACTCAGGTGCCACCGAACCATACGTTGACCCAGTGGCCTTCCAGTGTGTTGGTCCTAATGAGACCTATCTTTTTTTTTTTTCGAGACATAGTCTCACTGTCACCCAGGCTGGAATGCAGTGGTACCATCAGAGCTCACTGCAGCCTCGAACTCCTGGGCTCAAGCAATCCTCCTGCCTTGGCCTCCCCAGTAGCTGGGACTACAGGTGCATACCACCATGCCTGGCTAATTTTTCTTGTATAGTCGGCTGGTCTCAAACTCCTGGCCTCAAATGATCCTCCCGCCTTATCCTCCCAAATTGCTAGGATTACAGGCGTGAGCAACCACACCCAGCCAAGAGAGCTATTTTCTAACAGGGCTTTCAGACCTGCCTCTTCTGAGAGAGCTGGAACCAGGATCAGCCACATAATTTGCAGGGCTCTGTGCAAAATGAAAACGCAGGACCCTCGTGTAAAAGTTACTAAGAGTTTCAAGGCGGCAAAGGCCGAGCAGTAAATGAGGCCTGGGCCTGATTCACTCCCCAACGCGGGGCTGTGCCGCTGTACAGATCGTTCTCCCGTGATTCAGCCAGCAACCGTGAGGCTGGCCCTGATGGAAAACCCTGACCCCTGCTGTCAAGTGGAGAGGAAGGACCTCGGGGCGGCCCCTCTGTCCCTACAGTCCCTCACTGTCACTAAAGAATGTCCTCATTTTATTCTGACCTCTCTCCTGGGAGCCTCTTTCTCCAGGAGACCCCAGAACTGGGGGGCCCACGGGAGAGGGGCTGGAGAGGGGCCGCCCACCCCCAGGCATGGATCGTGGCCAGAGAGAAAAATGCCCCAATCTAGAATGAAACATTTTGCGTCGGCTTTGCACTAACATTTTCGAAGCGAGTGGCTGTTCCTTTCCCCTTCTCACAGAAATCCCCGTCTGGCGCCAGCAGAGGCCTTTCAGAGGCTTAGCGTGAGCGAGTGCGAGGGTCTCTAAATCTCCCCCTGATGTGTGCGAGCGCCGCCGTGCGCTCTGCGGGCTGCGTTCGAGATTGAGCGCTGGCTGTCTGCGGATCGCTCGCAGTGGCGCGGCGGCACGATGCACCGAGCATACTAATCTCAGGCCCCGGCAGGAGGAGCGTTGCCTGGATCCCAGCCCGCTGCGGTGCGGGCCACACGCTTTCAAAGGGGATTCACATGGAAAAGGGTGATGATGTGGTTCTGTCTGTAATCTCAAGCCATCCTGATACCCAGTCTCACCATCCTTAAAAGGGGGATGGAGCAAAAACTGGGGGAGGGGGCAAGCGCAGGTGCCCCGGTGGGGAGCACATGAGCGCTGGCCTGCGTCCCCTCGCTCCAGCTCGCAGGTGGAGTTGCAGGATCCCAGCGCACTCCGGAAATCTGCTCCTCTGTGTTTGTGGGTCGTATCAGCTGGAGCATCCAGGGCTGAGGGCACCTGTCAGCTGATACCGGTGCCTGGGGTTCCCCTGACTCAGTGTCTCCTCCGGGCCCTGCCAGGGATCAGCTGCCCTCCCTGTTTGTGAAGCGGCCAGGCTCTCCACTTCGCCTGGTCCCCCTCACTGGTAGGCAGCAGCCCCCACGCAAACCATGTGGCGTCCAGGAGGGAGGGGTGCTCTGATCTGAGTCCGGGTTCTGCACTCGCCTTGTCAGCCGGGGCAACATTCTCAGCTGTCCCGAACCTCGGTTTCCTCATTGAAAAAAAACAAGGCAACATTACTTTTTGAGTATGTATTTGGTTGTGAGCCCTATGTTAGACAGTGTGCTGGGAGCTGGGGACACAGAGGTGATCAAGGCAGACACAGCGCTCTCCAGTCTGGTGGAGGATCCCGGTGGATAACAGGCGATCTCTCTGGAGCTGTGTGCCTGCCCCCGGCCTGCCTGATCTGCTTTGCAGCACAGCGGGGGTGGGCTGGGAGCTGATGGTATGGACCCCGGGTATGTGTTCCTCCAGCTCCTACACCAGGCCGCTTCTGCCTGGGTTTGGCCAGTGGTGGATATTAGGGGAGATTGCCAGGTGGGAGGAAGGGGGAAGCCAGGATGCTGTCTTCCCTGGTGATAGCTAAGTCTCCTCTCTGGTCCTCCTTTCTGGTTCCTGGACTCAGATCACACTGTGTTCTCCCTTTGTTCCTTGATCCTAGAACTGGCAGTAGCTTCCTGCTATTATTAATCTCTGGGTTACTTCACCAATTCCTGTTGAGTTCTCATCTTCTTTCATTGCCTGGGAAACCAATGCCTGCATTCAATTCCCTCTGTTGAAAGAGGTTTCTGTTAAGCCCTGGCTCAAATAACGTGATAAGGACAACTTGGGGTGCTCAGGGTGTCATAAGCACGTATAGTTCTCAATCAGTAAGAATAGCTATTATTATTATTGGTTTTATTATTATTATTTATGCTAATACTATTACCACTCTGAACCTTACAGTCTCTTCTACAAGTCTGCTAGTTCTCTTTAATCAGTGGTTAGGCCCTGCTCAGTGGGAGCTGGAAGCCTGCAAGCTCCCAGAGCAGCAGAGGTGTGTGGTCAAGCTGTGCAGGCCCTGGAGAGGCTGGTCCTGGCTGCATGGTTAGGTGGACATCAAAGAGCAGAGGTCCCCTGGATGGGAATGTCTGGGTCAGGTGAGCAGTGGTAAGCTGGGCCCTAGGTAAGGCTTACATGGGAGTCTGAGTCTCTTGCACACACTGGCTTGGTCAGATCAGGTGTGTGGTTGTATGGAGGGGTAAACAACATGCCAAGGTAACCTTTCAAGAGAGGCTGTGCATGGCCCAAGCTTGGGGAAGGAATGCTCGTTATCGTAAAGCAAACTGCTTGCTCAGCCATCCACTGGGCATAAGGCTCCAAGGGGCTGGAAGGACAGAACCAGGGTGGACCCCTCTTTCGCAAACCTCTGCTTGTAGTTTGTTCCCATCTTGCTGCCTGTATGGAAGGCACCAGACTTTTGTCTGGCAGGTTCCTCTGTGGGCAACATTTAAAAAAAAAAAAAGCTTTTTTATTTTAGAATAGTTTTAGACACACAGAAAAGTTGTAAAAATAATAGAGTTTCCATTTGCCCCCAGCCAGAATCCCCGGCGTTAACATCCTATCTCAGTGTGGTTCATTGGTCACAACTGATAAACCAATATTAGTGCAGTATTATTAACTCAACCTCATACTTTACTCACATTTCCTTCATTTTTTCCCTAGTTCCTGGATCTCAACCAGGATCCCACGTTACATTTAGTCATGTCTCCTCAGCATCTCTTGGCCGTGACAGTTTCTCAGACTCCCGAGATTTTGGTGAAGTCCTGACAGTGTCGAAGAGTATTGCTCAGGCATTTTGTAGGATGTCCCTCAATCGGGGTTTGTCTGATGTCTTTCTCATGATTAAACTGGGTCTTAGAGGGGAAGATCCCAGCAGTACGGGTGCCTGGGCAGCATGTTCGCTCCGGCCACCCTCCTGCTGTGGCTGAGGTTGCTGCGGAAGTGCCTTGTGTCCTGTGGGGAACGGTTCCACCCACACCACACACCAACGCCAAAAACAGGGGCGTCCACTCTCCAGAGCTTCCAGGCCCACATGGATCTTCAGCTTCTCGAGAATGATCGGTTCCCTGAGTATTCAACATGAATATTAAATACCGCCTCATCCCTCCATGGTAGTTTCTACTTGGAAGAGCACATTGCTGTGCCATTACCTTCTGTTCATCGTGAGAACTGCTCTGACATAAGGACATCAGTTTTCATAATGTCACTTCATGACTTCCGGGCCACACAGCTGCTAGATGGTGGCTCGCTGGCAGAAAGGATCCCAGTTGAGTTTGGTTCAATGTCAGTAACCACATTTGTATCCCAGGGTTTAAAGAGTTAGTCCAGTGGGGCTCAGTGGCTCCTGGAGTGAGCCTTTCACCGTGTGGACCCACAGGTTGGGATTTTTACGCATATGCACCCGTTCCCAGTTTCTTTTCCTGGCCACAGCAGACTGCTGGCCTCACCTGGGAGCTTTCTGGCTTCCTATTTTGTCCCAGCGGGAGACCGATGGTTTCTGGGTCTTTTCCTGGTGCTTTATTTCAGCAGGCTCCATAGCTGATTTGTGTAGGACAGGGATTCTCTCTTCCCTGCTGCTACTTCCTTTCATTCTGAGACACTTACAGGTGCTTCCAGAAAGCTCAAGGAGCTTGTGAAATGTTCAAAGCACAGTTGGTTTTAGTTCACTTGAATTTTGTTGTTGATTTTGCGAACCTGGATTTTGTATACGTGCTTCGCAGCGCTGTTGGGTGGGAGAGAGTTTTAGGTGGTTGCGGAGAATGAAAGGATTAGGTGTCTAGACTCGGTTTGCAGTCACTGATACAGCTCGTGGCTGATGCAGGCATGAGTCAGCAGCCTGTGTCGGCTCTGGCTGCGTGAGGGCATCCACACACATTTTAAAGATCGTAGTCCTGTACAGACAATACCTTTCCTATCCTCTGAAGGCAGAGGAATATTCGGTTGGGCCAGCCTTAACCTGAATATGGTGTTTGAGATGACTGTAGACTTTCTGAATCATGAAAATGTGGAGTTGCTTCTGGGTGCTTATTCCCTGAGCCTTTGTCTCAGTGTGAGAAAATAATGTGTTTTGAGATCAGTAGAAAGAAATTTTAACTACAGCTTTGGGTTCTATGGTTCAGTTAATAGGGAAACTGAGGCAGGGCACAGGACTCCTCTGCTGTATCAAGGGAATTGTGGCTGTTGCTCAAATCCTCATCTGTATGTTTAGCACCCAGATCTCTGCATCAGCAAGAATCTGTGCCTTGAGGCTGGGCGCAGTGGCTCACGCCTGTAATCCTAGCTCTCTGGGAGGCTGAGGTGGGCAGATTGCTCAAGGTCAGGAGTTCGAAACCAGCCTGAGAAAGAGCGAGACCCCGTCTCTACTATAAATAGAAAGAAATTAGTTGGCCAACTAATATATATAGAAAAATTAGCCGGGCATGGTGGCGCATGCCTGTAGTCCCAGCTACTCGGGAGGCTGATGCAGTAGGATCGCTTGAGCCCTGGAGTTTGAGGTTGCTGTGAGCTAGGCTAACGCCACAGCACTCACTCTGGCCTGGGCAACAAAGCGAGACTCTGTCTCAAAAAAAAAAAAAAAAAAATCTGGCTCAGATGGAGATCCTGCCATCTGCCCTTGCATTTGCTGGATGTTAACAATGCAAGTTTGGATTCGTGTACTGGGTACACAGAAGAAGGTTGAAACAACCAATGTCCATTCATCATCCAGCATGCATATGACTGTGTGTACTACTGTAAGAGAAGAGGGGGCCTTAGACACGGTTCCTCCATCACAGAGTTCTGTGTCTCCTAGGAGGGTGGCTGTGTCCAGCAATACCCACAATACAAGGCAGAGTTTGATTTGCACCATAAGCAAATACTGAGGGCTGCTGAGGAAGTTGTCATCTTACATTTATCGTGTGTCTAAGGTATTATCTTAAGAGCAAAATATTGACAAAAAACCCTATATTATTGGAAGCAGGAAACTATGACATATCCATGCAAAGGTATATTATGTGGCCAAGAAAAGCAACAGGGTAGGTTTATATATTATAAAAATATCTCCCTCACAGATTGGTATTCTAAATTTTTACAAAGAACCTAATTAAATAACTGAAAGATAAAAAAAAATATCCCCAAGACCTATTATTAATCCTATTGTTAATCGATAGCTAAAGAACTAATAACCTGATTTAAATATGGGCTAAGGACTAGAATAGACATTTCTCCAAAGAAGACATGTAAATAGGCAAAAGGAATGTGAAAAAGCTCAACATCACTAGTCCTCGGGGAAATGCAAATCAAAACTATAATGAGAGATCACCTCACACCTCTCAGTATGGCTACTATAAAAAAAAAAGTGTTGGCGAGGTTGTGGAGGAACTGAAATCTTTGCACACCATCTCTAGGAATACAAAGGATGCAGCTACCATGCAAAACAGTATGGAGGTTCCTTAAAAATTTCAGAATAAAACTATGATATGATCTAGCAATTGCACTTCTGGGTATTTATCCAAAAGAATTGAAATCAGGATCCCAAAGAATTATTCACACTCCCATGTTCATTGCAGTGTTATTCAACAACAGCCAAGATGTAGGAACATCCCTAAATGCCCATTGACAGGTGAACGGATAGGGAAAATGCGGTATGTACACACAATGGACTATTACTCAGCCGGAAAATAGGAGATCCTGCTGTCTACAACAACATGGACGAAACTCAAGGACATTAAGTAAAATAAGCCAATCCCAGAAAGAAAAAAATATTGCATGATTCCACTTACATGTGATATCTAAAGTATGCAAAATTTATAGAGTCAAAGAGTAGAATGGTGGTTGCCAGGAGCTGGGGGAGATACTAATCAATGGGCATAAAATTTCAGTTAGTCAGCACAATGGATCGTACACCGAAAATTTTGTAATGAAGGTAGATCTCACATTACGCATTCTTATCACAATATAAAATTTTAGAAAGTTTTCTTATTGCAATGAAAGACACTATGAAGTGAAAAAGAAGGATGTAGAACAATGCATAGTGTTATCCTATTATGTGGAAGAGGGATACATGTATATGTGTGTGTATATATATATATATATAAATGGCTTAAATTGTGTGTGTGTATATATAGTATAGCTTAAAATATTTCTGGATGATTCACAAGAAACTGTGAAAATGGTTTACTTCTGAAGAGTGGAACTGTTATTTTTCATTTTATATCATTTCAAAGTATTTGATTTTTTAAAACCATGTTTTTAAATTAAAAAGCACCAATTTGTATCTTTTTAAAAAAGGCTTTATAACATTTTTTGCTTTCCGACTGAGAACATCTTTCTACACGTTGTAGACTTGTCTGATGTCAAGAAAATCTGGGTATTTGTTGAAAATTTCAAGCAGGAACATAAACTCGGTGTTCTGGTGAGCTTTGTAAGCATAAGTGGAGGAAAAACCTCCTGTTTGCACATTTTTCATCTTTATAGATGTGGGCGGATATGTTTTTGTGTGTCTTTATGTAAGAATCTTACTAAGAATCTCTGACGGTTGGGCCTATTCGTGTCATTAAGTTTACTCAGGACTGAAGAGGCAATCTAGCATGTTGGTTAGGTTTGTGGGCAAGGGAAGGGGCCATCCACTGGGTCAGTATTGTGGGAGGATGAGTATGTTCTGTTTTTCATAAAATGATTTGTATATTGATATTCCTGAGCTCTATAGATTTGGGGGTTGATGCATTGAAATTGGAGGCTCAGGGAAAAATAAAAAGTTTAGTCCCAAAGACCACCTGCTGCAGACCAGCGAATCTCTTAGAGACAACATCAGCGTGCAGCCCCACAGAGGGCCTGGGAACTCGGGTGGAGGCTGCCCTGTCTGCTCTTCCCAGATGTTCCCCTTTGAGCTAAGCTGCTTTTCTCTCCAGATAGTTTCTAACGTGCCCTCTAATGCCATTTGGGCCGGAGAGTCTGGAATTAGCCTGTCCACTACGGCGACGGAGCATTTCAAATGTAGCCGGTCCAAATGGGGATGTGCTGTAAGTGTAAAAATTAGCAGATTCCGGCCGGGCGAGGTGGCTCACGCCTGTAATCCTAGCTCTCTGGGAGGCCGAGGCGGGCGGATTGCTCAAGGTCAGGAGTTCAAAACCAGCCTGAGCAAGAGCGAGACCCCGTCTCTACTATAAATAGAAAGAAATTAATTGGCCAACTGATATATATATAAAAAATTAGCCGGGCATGGTGGTGCATGCCTGTAGCCCCAGCTACTCGGGAGGCTGAGGCAGAAGGATCGCTTGAGCCCAAGAGTTGGAGGTTGCTGTGAGCTAGGCTGACGCCACGGCACTCACTCTAGCCTGGACAACAAAGCGAGACTCTGTCTCAAAAAAAAAAAAAAATTAGCAGATTCCGAAAACTTAGTGTGGAAAAAAAAATTATGTGCGTTATCTCATTAATATTTTTTTATCCTGATTACATGTGGAAATAATACTATTTTGCATATCTTTGGTTAAATAGAATATATTATTAAAATTAAATCTACCTGTTTCTTTTTATCTTTGTAATGTAGCTACTAGAAAACTTAAAAGTAGATGTTTCTATTGGACATTGCTGGTCTAGAGGAATTTCCAGAGCACTCTCTTGTGAATTAAGTTGCCCAGCTGAGGCCTCTTAATTAGAGATTGTTGCACAGTTCTATGGCTGAGTATATTTTGCACAAGTGCCATTTTCCTGGAAGGGGTTTGGAATAAAATGTCAGTTGAGCAGAATTGTCACTTGAATGGTGGGAAGAGCTGGGTGGTGGGGTAGTAGAGGTGTGGAGTTTAGAAATAGATTCTTTGGCCCTATTTTTCTTTATTTTGAAATGGTAACTGTAATTTCTACATCAATAATGCAGCCTGCATGGTCAGTAAAAGAGCTCACAGAAAATGGTCTTGCAAAAAAAAAAAAACAACAACAACTTTGCTACCAATACTGTGGGTAAGTACAAACAGTTTTCTTGTTTGTTTTTAGCAAAATAAAGAGACAAACATGAACCATAGAGAGATCCAAAAAATACATTGATTAACTTTTTGGGTTCTTGGTCTTGGCCTGATTACATTTGCTTTAAGTTTATCTTTATATGTATTTATTTTTCTCATACAACATTACTTTTTTAAAAAGGTTAATGGTCTTGTATTAGAGGAAAAAATAACCCTGGCATTTACAACTTGGAAGGGACACAAATTGTAGTTTCTTGAACAGCAATGTTGATGGTTGTGCTCAAGTCCACGGCCATAGCCATAGCCTCCTCTGCCAGCTTCAGGTCATGATCAGAAGGTTTGAAAACAGCGAGTCCAAAGATGCTCCCATGGTAAAGGTTTCTTTTTAAAAATTTGTATGAACGGTGACGGCCTAACACCCATTTCACTCTAGTGCCATGCAGGCAACGCTAAGCCAACATACTCAGGCGTGCCACAAAGATATGTCATTGTCACCGTGGGTCGGAGCACACAGAAGTACAAGAGGACCATCCTACCAGCAGGGCTGTATCTCCGCAGTTTATCCTTCACTCATTTCTCTGCACATCACCTTGAGTTAAACCAATTTTAAATGTGTCTGTTTTCAGTAAACCAGCTATGATGATTTATACTAAACAAATCGAACTCAAACCAATTTGAATAGGCTTTGAATTTGTTTTTTCCATTTTTCATTTTTAATACAAATATGCCTGACTGTGCTCAATCATCAAGATGCATGCACGAAAAACTGGCCCTGCCCAAACCATGTATTAATCGTTAGCAAATGGAACTTTAAGGAGTCCTTATCACTAAGGTAGTACAAGTATTAATATTTATATTGTAAAACTGATGTGTAGCTTGATCTTTAGGGGACAGGAACCACCAACCAATACATGCAGATTTTGTGTGTGTGGCCAGAAGTTACTTTTGGCATTCAGTTTTGCTATATAGAAACCGAATGAATAAATGAACTTTTTTCCTTTTTTTGCAAGAGGTAAGTAAAAGATTCAATTTGATTCTTCTAGAGGGGGGGAAATGGAGTAGAATGTAGGTTTTCATTTTGCAGTCACCATCTGCATGAATCCTTCATAGTTGACTTGTCTGTCTCCTCACTACCCAGACCACTTGCTTGTGGTAAACTAAGCTTTCAGTGAGGTGGTTTAATTAAGTATTGTTCTAAGTCACAAGATGGGTGGCAGGGGCTTGGGTGGTTGTCAGGGTTGTTGAGGGTGTCCATTGCATAGCAACCCTGTTCTCAGGCAAAAACGGAACAAATGGAGGAGTAAGGTGGTGGAGTCACAGATGAAAGTACTGCTGTTGCTGATGAGGCCAGTTGAAGGGCAGGCTCAGTGGGAAAGTCAAAGGGGTTTCTTCAAACTGAACCCAAGAATTAGGAAGACTCACCTTCCTGGTCACCTGGGACTGACTTCCTCTTCCTCCCCTGGAAGACAACAAGAGGAACAGAGCTGATTGTGGCCAGTTCGTTGTCCCCAAGCTTACTGATGTCACTATTGAAAAGTGCACCACCTCTCCGATGGAGGGAGGAGGGCCGGGGGAGGACAGGCTCACTCTCTCCACCAGGAAAGGAGTGGGAAGAAGCTTTCTCCCCAGCCGTGAGATTGCATTTTTTAAAAACAAATACCTGGAAGCTTGCTAAGAGACAGCATTAGCTTAGTACAAAATATTTCCATCATCGACTTTATTTCAAATGTGGTATCGTTGCTGAAATTACCCAAAGTACCAAAATGCAGCATCATGCAGGGGTTTGGCTTATAACCCTATGGAATGGCAAAGACTTCTTGAGTGCCCGCGGCTGGCCCCCCAGGTGGCCACCCAGCAGGGCTGGCTACATAATTTGCAGAGCCCAGCGCCAAATGGAAATTTGAGGCTCCATGTGCAAAAATGATTAAGGATTTCAACAGAGCGACAACAGAGCATCAAACCAGCTGCAGGGGCCTTCCAAGTGCGGGGCTTTTGTGCAGCCTCGCAGGATGAAGCCAGCTCTGTCGCTCACCCACCCACCCGCCACCCGACAGAATTCTCCTCTGCGCCTTCTGCACGCTGGGCATGCGCGAGTATGGGCCATACATATTTTTCATTTCACCCTATGATGGGGGGTATTCCTGCCTATACATTACAGTTGAGGAACCTGCACTGGAGAAGGGTTATATATCTTGCCCAAGGTCAAGTGGAGGAGCCCGAATGTGACCCTAGATCGGACTACAGCACAATTCCACCCACCCAGCAGTTCCTCCCTCACCATCACTGTATTACTGTGAAATGAGTGCTAAGCAGGACCAGATGGGGGTGACCAGCCATGCCAGGGAGGCTGGGCGGGGGGGGGGCCCAAAGGTATTCAGTGAAGATGAAGCGGAGGGTAATCTGGGGACCTTGGCATTGCTAGGGACCATGGACAGGCAGGACAGACTCTAAAGGGACCTCCTCGTTGATCATGCAGCTGGTGACCTTGCACCTTTGTGTGGACCTGGCCTGCTTGTAAGGACCTTGCTATCTCTTCACTTTCATTTCCTATTTGTGTTAGAAACATGAGAGTCTCGCTCCAGCCTCTCCAAGAAGCATAATAAATAATTCCCGTGCTCTGATATTTATTCATCCTCTCTCAAGCAAAAGACACAGCACAATACACAAAGAGGCACGCCAGCCACGGAGGGGCAGCCGAGTGTGTCTGTGCTTGAGAGATGAGGAGATGCAGAGAGGTTAAAGTGCTTCAGCAGGACCAGGCCAAACAAAAAGCGCAGACCTCTGTCTGAGTCCCGGGAAATTGCCGGCTGCCTTTCTAATATGAAACATGTTTTCCCGGCCCGATTATGTAATGTGGGCTAGGTTGTTTTCTATTTTCTAAGATTCAGCTGGGCCTCCAGGAACATTTGCAATCCCCTGCCAAACATCAGTCGGTTCCTGATTCTCCGAGGATAGTGCAAACACCAGTATTTGCAGAATTTATCACCGGATCCTGAGGGTTTGGAAGCTGGCAGATTAGTTAAATGCGAGATGCCTCCAGAGCCTGTGTGTGCACACGGCTCTTTGTTGAGATATCATAGTGTATGAATTAGATGAAGTTTGGAAATAATTCTCCTTAACCTTTCCTGGTGGTATGTGGGGTCCAGAGAGATTTTTTCATAGTTTATCCTATTACGGGATGAAAACAAGCTGCTCTGGGTGGGTCGGTGGGTGGGTGAGCCCTGGGGGTGCAGAGATCTCTTGAGACAGCTCCCATTCGGTTGCTGCCCGTGCTTTGGGTGTCCTCCAGGGCTACGCGTTTTGCCTGTTAGCATTCAGTGGCGTTAAGAGTCCGTGAAGAGTGAGGACAGATGGGAGGGAGGCGAGGCTGAGCTAAGTGCCCTGCTGGCAGCCTGCCACAGCCCGGCGTTAGCAGATTAAAACTCTCACCCGCATCTTAGCCTCTCTCACCGCAGGACACAAGCCGAGGACACTGATTCTACCTCCACCAGGACAGCTGCGTCACCAATTAATTGACAGTGATAAACAGGCAGTGGTGCCTTCGCTCCTTGGCAGAAGGCAGGGAAGCGTGTGCTTCAGGATGCAGTCTGTGCTGTCACTTGACGTTCTGTGACAGGGTGGTCTCTCCCCATGGGCTGGTCGACACAGGTCCCCCGGGTCCAGAGACACCTTCACTGCAACAGCACGTACTGTGCCCTTTCCATCGTGCCAGCAGCTGCCCTAAATGCTTTTTTTGGATTCTCTCATTCAATCCTTATAGCATCTGTACAGGTTTTACAGATGAGGAAACTGAGGGTCAAAGGTAGTCTGAAACCAGAGCCCGTAACTCACTTCCCAAACAAAGGACAACAAAATTATAGTTGGGGCATTTTTAGTATAGGGCTGTACCTGTCAGTTGTTGCTATGTAACCAGCTACTCCGCAATCTCAGGGGCATGCGGTCACAGGCATGCATTTTTGCTGATTCTTCTGTAGGTCTGCCGGGTGGGCTCATCTCAGCTGGGGGTCTCCAAGCAGCAGGTTGGGTCTGGAGTATGTCCCAAATGTCTTATAGCCTCCTTCGACCATTGTGCGGGCCAAGGTATATTCTCACGACACTAGCAGAAGCCTGAATGTGCAAGCAGTTCCAAACCCCTGCTGGCTTCACTTCTGCTAACATCCAGGTGACCAAAGCAAGTCATTTCACTGAGCCCAAAATCAAGCACCAGGGAAGTATATACTTCTCCCATGGAGGGGGTAAATATTGTCAAACAATCTACTACAACGGTTGGATTTTTTATGTTCCAATTCTTTGGAAATGGGTCACCTGAGTTTGATATGGTAACTACTAACCAACATACTTAATGCACAAAAACACCTTATTTATTCCATAAACATTTACAAAGGGACTACTATGCCAGACACTGCGACCAGTGGTGGAGACTGAGAAATTAAAGGGGCCGGGTGCGGTGGCTCACGTCTGTAATCCTAGCACTCTGGGAGGCTGAGGCAGGAGGATCACTCAAGGTCAGGAGTTAGAAACCAGCCTGAGCAAGAGTGAGACCCTCTCTCTACTATAAAAAATAGAAATTAATTGGCCACCTAAAAGCATAATATATAGAAAAAAATTAGCCGGTATGGTGGTGTATCCCATAGTCCCAGCTACTCGGGAGGCTGAGGCAGGAGGGTCGTTTGAGCCCAGGAGTTGCAGGTTGCTGTGAGCTAGGCTGAAGCTGCGGCACTTTAGCCTGGGTAATAGAGTGAGACTCTGTAAAAGAAAGAAAGAAAGAGAGAGAGAGAGAGAAGAAGAAAGAAAGAAAAAGAAAAAGAGAAAGAAAAAGAAAAAAGAGAAAGAAAGAAAGAAAGAGAGAGAGAAAGAAAGAAAAGAGGAAGAAGAAACGAAAGAAAGAAAGAAAGAAAGAAAGAGAAGAAAGGAGAAAGAAAGAAAGAAAGAAAGAAAGAAAGAAAGAAAGAAAGAAAGAAAGAAAGAAAGAAAGAAGTTAAAGGGACTAGTGTAGTT